TCTTTATTAGCATCATCATCTTAAAACTTAAAATGGATGCTGTCTGGTACTTGACACAATTTTCCTGTTTTATTTTGCTGGAAATAGTGTATTGTTGTTCTCCTTTCGCCTTGAATGACTTGTTTTTTCTTGCTTCCTCTTGTCACCTGCATGGCTCATGCATGCACATGTGTGTTTAGAGAGAGAAGAGGGAGGAGCATATAAAAGTTGATTGTTAAGTATCATAGCAGATATGCTATCCATTAACATGTCACTCATTGCTAGACAATCAGATCTAAGTGGATTAGCTACTTTACACCTTGGTGAAACATTTCTTGTCATTGCCTGAGTTAATAATCTCTAGTTATGTGTAGATGGTTATATTGCATCCATTATTGTTTTTGCATCATAGAGTTTTCAGATGATTAAAACATTCTTTACATTTGCATCATTGAAATACTGATATTTCAAGCATATGTGACACTTTTAATTCAGGAAACTCAGCTTAGTACATATAGACGGAATATGCAAGATCTTCTTTGTGATTCAGGTTTAACTCTCCTCATACTGCCACAAACAACTGTGTCTTTTTATTACATTACCCTTTTTTTTTTTGTTAATGTTATTCTCATAACTGCTGGTTGTGTTGGAAAATTTTAGGGATGATACCGTATACAGAACCCTATCAGACCATGTACCAGCAAAGACGGTTAGGTGCTTTGGGTATTGAGTGGAATCCTAATACTTTGAAACTTGCTGTTGGGCCAGATGTCAGTCTAGACCAGGATTACCAAATGATGCCTTTGGCAGACTTAGATGCAATTGCTGATCCACTGCCAGAGTTCTTAGATGTCATGGATTGGGAACCAGAACATGAAGTGCAAAGTGATGATAATGATTCAGAGTACAATGTCACCGAAGAGTACTCTACAGGAGGGGAGCAAGGAAGTTTAGGTTCTTCTTCTGGTGATCAGGAGGGCAGTACAGAAGACAGTGAGATTGATGATACTCATAAAGATGGCCTTCGTCGGTCAAAAAGGAAAAAACAGAAGGCTGATGTAAGTTTAACATCCTCTTCATTCCTATCTTTCAACTTTTTTGGATGTACTTGGTTGAGTTGAATTTTCTCCCTTATCAGATTGAGATCAGGACATCTTCTGGGAGGCGTGTTAAAAGAAGGAATTTGGATGAAAGTGATGGCAACTCATTCAGAGATAGCTGGAATAGAACATCAATCATTGGACCAAAAGCTTTATCGAGAAAGTCCTCTACATCAAAATCATCGAGACCTCGAAGGGCTGCTGCGCGCAATGCTTTGCACTTTTTTTCGAAAATAACTGGAACATCAACTGATGGGGAAGATGAAGATGACTCTGAAGGTGAATCATCAGAGAGTGAATCTATGATACGAGATTCATATAGTGATGAATCTGATAGAGCTTTACCAGATGAACAAATCAAACAGTCAAAAGGAAAAGAAGTCCTTTTGGGTGAGTCAGAGGATATTGGTAGAATTAATGAACTTCCTGAATCTTATAATGCTGGGAATAGGAGAAGATTGGTCCTTAAATTGCCCGGTCGGGATCCAAGTAAGCTTGTGCCACCAGACAGCACAATGCAAAGAAAAGTTGACAGGCAGGACAACTCAGTAGGCTTGTCATGCAAAGCTTCTAAAGAAGCCACTGAAGGAGGTGTAAAGCGTATAAGCTCATTGGATCTGGGGTGTTCTTCTGGTGATGCAAATTACAGCATTTTAGGTAGAGGAGCAAGAGGGCAATCTGATAAGGTGGAAGATCATTTAGACCTGACCGAAGGGTACAAAGATGGGGCAATTAAGTGGGGAGGAGTCAGGGCTCGTACTTCCAAACGTCTGAGATTGGGAGAAACCGTGTCATCAGATGCATACATCGGGTCTAGGCTATGTCTTGACAACCACAAAGAAAAAGAAAGTAATGTCAATGGATTCATGAAACCAGAAAAGGCTTGTGCTATTGCATCGCCAACTACAGAAATCCAAACTTGCAAGGATATGAATGGCAAAGTGACAGTAGTGGAGAAGCATCTTGAGAATGACAGGGAAGTATTAGATGGTGCAGCTAATGGTGAAGAGCACTCAGGTCCCAGTGAACAGATAAGTTATAACGAATTACCAAAATGGTTTAACCGGTTTGCTGAGGATACACCTGCCCCAACTGTTAATCAGAATGCAAGTGATCTGCCTTCTGAGCTAAAAGAGGGCGTTCTGCCTATTTCAACAGAGTTAACGGTTATCTCAAAAGGGACCAGAATTGACAATGAAAATCCTGGACTGAAGTTGAAACCTTCAGGAGAGGGTCATGTAAATGGCGGGTGTGCTGCATTAAATGATAGCTCCTCAGACAAGGCAAAGGACTTGGTTTCAGAGGCACCCTTAGTTGATGCATCCAATGAAATTAGTTTGGATCGTGAAGGTGATGGGTTGCAAGATTCAAATGCTCAAGTCGATAGGCCCATGTCAATTTTTAATGACTCTGGGGGACTACACCCAGATTCTAAAAAGATGTATAATGTTGTTTATAGAAGGTCAAAGACACAAAGGGATAGGTCCACTTCAGAAGGTGATACTGCCATGGTAGAAAGCTCTAGAAATAATTGCAACCATAATATCGGAATGGTAGCAGATCTCCATGAAGGCACCACAAATGGGGTGCATAACAAACGGTCCACTAGGTTGTTAGCAGGGCACATACTTCAATCAGAAGACATACAAAGAGGTACCCGGGGTGGTTCTACAAATGGGTCTCAACTTCCTAGCAAGGAATGGGGATCAAGTTCAAGAATGGCAGTTGGATCAAGGTCTACTAGAAATAGGAGAAGTAATTACTATTTCCATGACACTAGTCCGATAAGGAAACCCCATCAGTCAGCCAGAAACGGATCATGGTTAATGTTGACAACACATGAGGAGGGCTCCCGTTATATTCCTCAACTAGGTGATGAAATTGCATATTTGAGACAGGTCAGAGTAAAATACTAATTCTTTTTATCTATTCCTGTTGCGCAAGTTCTGTGCTTTAATTTTGATGGTTAGTATAGCTAATAAATTATTTAAATTTGGGAGCATCTATGCTTTCAGGGGCATCAAGAATATATATATCATATTAGCTCGAAGGAAGCAGGACCTTGGACTTCAATGAAGGGGGAAAACATGATAAGGGCAGTGGAATTTTGTAGAGTTGAAGTTCTTGAATATTCCACAGTTCCAGGGTCTGGGGAGAGCTGCTGTAAAATGACTCTCAGATTTACAGACCCTTCTTCCTGCATGTTCAATAGATCATTTAAATTGACTCTTCCTGAAGTGACTGGTTTTCCTGATTTCATTGTGGAAAGAACTCGCTTTGATGCTGCTATCCATAGAAATTGGAGCTGCAGGGATAAGTGCAGAGTCTGGTGGAAAAATGAAACTGAAGATGATGGAAGTTGGTGGGATGGCCGGGTTGTGGCTGTGAAGCCCAAATCTTCTGAATTTCCGGATAGTCCATGGGAAAGGTACTCTGTTCAATACAGGAGTGAGCCCAAGGAACCACATCTTCACAGTCCTTGGGAGCTCTTTGATGCGGATACTCAGTGGGAGCAGCCTCATATTGATAGTAAGATCAGAGATAAGCTACTTTCTGCCTTCGCCAAATTGGAGCATTCTTCCCAGAAAGCTCAGGTATCAGGCAAAATCTGAAATTTTGTTTTTTCCCTAAACTTTCAGTGGGTAATTAAATTTAAAGGATTCGCATTTGAGCTTGAACTCATGAGATCTACCCAAATCACCATTCCACTTATTGGAAGTGACAGCATGAAATTCTTCTTAATTTTTGCTTTAAATGTTTCAGGATCAATATGCAGTCAATAAATTGAAGCAGGTTTCACAGAAGTCTAATTTTAAAAACAGGTAAATCATGTCAAGCAATCATTTCACACATTTCTCTGGACATTGTTCAATCTCAAGACTTTCTGGCTCCTGGGTGGAAAATGTGTTTGAATGTTTGGAGTAATGGTATTTTGGCAGGTTCCCCGTCCCCTTATCTCTTGATATTATCCACTCTAGGTTGGAGAACAACTACTATCGATGTTTAGAAGCAGTGGAGCATGATATTCAGGTCATGCTGTCAAATTCAGAATCTTACTTTGGGAGAAATGCAGAGCTCTCGACTGCACTTAGACGGCTATCTGACTTCTTCGGACGGACAGTATCTTCTTTGCAGCCCTCATAGATATCCAGAGCAATACCATCCGAACGAGCATCTGTGCAAAATCTTTGTAGATAAAAGTTTTTTCTTTTATTTTATTCTTTCTCTTTCCCTGTTTCCCTTAGATCCAATTTTGGAAATTGATTTATACTTCAAATTCTTTCTAGAGAGATAGAAGGTCTCAGGGAAAATTAGCGGGTAGCTGTGGAAATTATCCACCAAAAAGGTTCATTGTTGTATAGACAGTTACATCATTTATTATGAAAAAACAGAAAAAAAAAAAAGGAAAAATATGTCAACGTTGATGTATCCAATCTTTGATCGAACATGTACATCTGCACAGGCCATAGGCAGCAGCTAGCTTCAAGTTTCTTCCCCCATTTGAATTTTTCCTTTTTATTTTCTTGTCGGGCTCTTTTCCTTTCCATTTCTCAAACTGGAACTGCATGGAAATGGACCGAAAAGGATGTGAAAGAATGTTTATCCAGGCTTGGGCTAGTCTAAGTTTGAACCTCAACCAAGCCCAGCTTGATAAAATCATGACGCAAGCCTAGCTTCCCTCTCGAACTTGAGTCTGAACCAGGCCAGGCTTGTGGGCATGAGCGTCATTCATCAAAAACATGAAAGCTCACACCCTGTTACCAAGAACATTATCAATAGCTAAATCAAGATGTGAAATACTAGAATCTAGATGAGACAAATCTCATCTTAGTTTGGTTTATGGACTCAGAGTCTGGCATGATTTTCACAACCCTACCTTGTGATAATCTACAGTTATGATCAGTAAAGTTATAATGAATGTGTTAGAAAATATGAATCACTAGGAAAATAGTTGTGCGAGCTCCTTGTATTACAGTACCACAAGAAGTCTTTGGTAAATAAAGTTTGTAAAAACAAACATTACATTGCCCAGCTGTGAGCATCAACTCATTAGTAACTAGATCTCAATCTCTCCACCGATGTCCACAGTTTGGATTACAGCACACGAAAAACAGTGTCATACCTTCCTCCCCTCGAGCAGTTGCCTGAACAAAAAAGTTTGTTCCATTAGAAGAAGCACAGTCGCTGCTCATCGTGCATTAAAAGACAATTCAAATAAAAACAACGAGCTATAAATTCGTTTTATTAGATAATGTGCAAAAGATGGAATCTGCAAGCATGTTCAAAATGGTCTACATTGTAGCTAAACCCAAGCCACCTATCCTCATTTACAGGCGGAAAAGAAAAAGGACACAGCTCCTGGTGTTATGTAATTGCTGATAACAGCAAAATGTGCTTTTGCCAGAAGATCACCAGAAAACTTACAACCACAATATGATTTTATGATAAACAAATATATTTTGAAAGATTCTAACAGCAGATGCATCAGACATAAACTTCTCTTCCATAAGAACATATTTGTCATCTTTTCTGATCAAAAAGATTTTTTGCAAATCTCTAGAAACACACCAATGCTCGTGTGATGGATCACATTTCTTGCATAAAATTGAAGATTTACCCAATAATCACCGTGTGCACAAATAAAGACTTAAGCATGTAGGAAGTTAACCTGGAAGAAGACAGCTTCTCCATGTTTACAGTTTGCACAAATGACAGATTTAGTCCTAGGAAGCGTTGGATCAGCAGCTACATCCTGCAATATTTGAGTGCGCTCCCCAGCAGAGTGATGCACCTCATTTCTATACACACAGTTGTTGTCAGCCACCTCCTGCATATATTCATAATGTCACAAGAATAAACAGATAAATAGATGAGAAAGGAGGAAAATCTTCTACTCTGAAGACTTATAGCTAGATAACATCAATAAAAGCAACCAACAAGTAAGTGTTCAAAGGCCTAAATTGGGGACCTAAAATGCCCAGAAATTCTTTTATGTGTAAACCCACATTGTTCACTGCCAAAGACCTTGACAAAAATGGATACCCTCTTAAAATTTTAACTTTTTCTATTGACTCTATATTCAACAAAAACAAAGGAAACCCATTTTCTAAATTGGAAAAATAAGAAAGAAACAGCAAAAAAAAAAAACAGAAGAACAGGTTAGGGTTTTATGCGGGTTTAACACCTCAACAGATAACTTAGACGTCAATTATACCCATTTAAGAAAAACGCAAAAGAAAAGACACCCTAATCTCTGTTTCAAATCTTCAGCTTGGTAAAAGAAAAAGGGAAAATTTATATTGAAAAAGGAGGAGAAGAACCTGGTGATCGCAGTTGCGGCAGGCGTAGAGGAGAATCTTCTGTTCTCTATCTTCTTTCGGGTAGAGAATGTTGTTGCTTCATCAATAAAACAAAAAGATTACCAAAAAAAAAAAAGGAATCAAAATTTAAGCCCAAAATAAGGTTAAGGCTGGCTGAGAAAACGGAAAAACTAAAATGGGTTATGAAAAACTGCAAAGAAAGTGAATGCAGGACGACTAAAGAAAGCTGAGAACTGACCATTCACGGCAAAATTTCATGGTACTCATCTTGTTCGATTAGGCTTTGGGTTTCTTGCACAGAGAAACAAACAAAAGAAAGGCAAAGGCTTTTGGGGTTAGTTTGGCGGGCTCTTAGCTCTTAGCCCTTAACCTTCGTGTGCTTTTGGGGAATAGATCTTTCCAGCAATGGGTTCTCGGGGTCAAAGGTCCTTATTCGTAATTTAATCATCTTTGACGGTTATTTATTTATATACACTGCTGACTTCTCTAGAAACATGTGCGTGTCTACTTGTCTCGAGTCTCTGCTCCTTTAGCTTGTAGGTCATCTTTTTCGATTTAGTCCATGAATTGGCCAATGACAATTTTGAGGTTAAGTGTCTGAAATGAAATGTTGCAAGTAAGTTATGAAGAAAGGTGTTAACACGACCAACCATTATATGTTCGTACGTAATGCAGGGAAAGGAAAAAGGAAGCCTAACCATTCGGGACAAAATTTATACTCACTAATGCTGGAAGGAGGCTTTAGTTAACACTTCTTCCTCTGAACTTTTGAGAGCTGTTTTAGCTACGTCTGTTTTCCCCACACCACCTACTAATTGAACCAAAGCCACAGGCACTCACCGAGAGAATGGTTCCAGCTTTTAATGACCCAGGATTTGCCACAGTTTCAACAAATTTTTTGGCATTTTGATGAGATCAGCTGAAAAGGTTGATGGGAGAGAGCCAGATGCTTGGTGAAACCATGAAAGGTGTTTTATGCCATGTTCTAGAGAAGATGGATATCTAGGAGTGAAAGACAGAAGGTTCCAGGTCGGAACTGCTTCTACACCATTCCTTAAATCTAGCAGAGGTAGTGAAACCTTTGAACATAGTTCCCAAGCCCAGAAACATATCTACGAACCTGCTAGTGGCAACCGTTTAACTGAGCGAGCCTCCACTAATATATCATTATCAAGAACTCACGATACACATCTAAACAGCAATACCGAAATCATGGATGCAAAACTTTGACAGATATGCTGCAGTCAGGCAACAAAATATTAAATATCTAGTGGCACAAAGGAAAAAGTCAAGATAGTCAATAACTTACAAGAGGATTTTCAAGCTACAATCATTTCACAAAAAGGAATCAACAAACAAGTCTGGTAAAGATCTCAAAACTAAACACCTAGCAAACTTATTTCAGAGGCCTTGATCTCCAGCATGTGTAAGACCATAAGCTCCATAGTTACAACCGGAATGCCCTAACAAAGAAGTACAAGGAGATGGTAGAATCTGTGGACTTAAAAACAGGCAAGTCCAGCATCAAATAGGCAATATGCGTACTGCCCTCTCTGCTTCAGCGTCTTCTGCTATGCCTCCGGCTCTTCCTTCGGCTGCTCTTATCGTCAGAATCAGAATCTGAAGCAGAGTCTGAATCAGAAGACTCGGAAGACGAGCTGTACCTTCTACGCCTCCCCTTCCTCTGCTTCTTCTTCCTCCTCCGCCTCCTCCTCTCTTCCTCAGAGTCAGATGATGAACTGTAATCTGTACTACTCTCTGCTGAAGAAGAATCTGATCCCGTAACAGATGAGGCACCACTATCAGTCTCAAAAACTGAAGCCTCGCTATCACTACCTGAATCAGAATCTGACCGATGCTTCCTTTTGCTTTTGTTGGACCTATTGTCCTCCTCATCCTTGACATCTGGGTTGTCCAAATCATAAGAGATTGAAAGCTTCATCCTCAATTTGGGGTTCTTAAGCTGCTGGGTACGTGAGGGTCGTGACATGTAGACCCGTTCATTCTTGCATTCGTATGTCCAATGCCCTGTTTGAAAACACTTTTGGCACTGTGATGCACCCATTGTAGACATTGAAGTCTTGTCTTTCCTTTCACCTAATTTCACCGCCTTTTCAGTACTCATCAAGTACATCTGCCTCTTTGCTTCCCGTTTCTCCTGCCATCTGCTAGGTCCTTCTTCCTTTTGCCCATAAGCATTAACATTTCGGGCTGCAGCAGCAGCTGCCCTTTCAGCCTGAGCACGACTGAGGCCCTTGGCAGCACTCAATGCTGCAGCTTTGATTCTTTCAGCTGCAGCCTGAGTCTTTTCTTCTTTCTTGCTCGACATCTTTTAGGCGCCAACAAACAACAAAATTATGAAAATATGTAGATTATCCGATCTTGGATTTAATTCACCCGAAATCCTAAAGCACCCTGCATTCAAAAATCCAGTGGGGTCATTCGCATTTGTCTAATTAGGATAAAAGACCCCAACCAAAGAACACAGATACGTCTCTTCCTTCTAAAACCAAATAGTGCTCAAGAAATTAATTCAGAGGCTACAATGAAAAGAACAAACAAGATACCTCTTACAACAAAAGTCTCCATACATTTACCTATCAATTCAGATATGAAAAAAAAAATAGAAATTTTTTGCTTAACAGGGAAATTCAATATCAGCTAAGGCACAATTTTACAGAATCTACCAATTATCAACACAAAACGATGCAAATTTTCTTTAAAAAAACGACGAAAAACAAGCAAAAAAGGGAAAAAAATAGATTTTAAAAGCAAAAAAAAAACCCTAGGTTTAAAACAAAAAGGTTGAATGAAACCTTCGTTTCCTTCACATCAAAACCCTAAATTGAAATTCGTTTTTGGGGACGGAAATTAAAGATCCTAATCACCAAAGAAAAGAAACCCTAAATTTCTCGAGTGTTTCAAAAAGAATAAAAATCAGAGAAGGAAAGGATTAGCGCGTACCTGGACCCCTTCGCGACGGCGAAGATCCAGAATGAAAGGCGAAGAGGAATTTTTATTATTTTTATTTAAATGAGAAGCGGAATGGCTTTTCGTATTTAACACGATTCATTTAAGGCGGTGGCTTTTTCATTTTCTTTTGTTTTTTACTGTTAAAAACTGTTGCGAAAAATTAAAACATTTTAAAATTTTAATATTGAAACGTAAAGAATAAATCATTTTTAATAATCGTTAAATGTTTAAAAATATCATTTTTAACACTTTCACTTTGTTGCAAAAAAAGGAGTGATGGTATCAACCAAGTAATAATTTTGTTAAATAATACTAGAAATTTCCTTTCTTTTTTAACTTTTATCCCCAAATGTTTCATTTTTTTAAAGAAAATAAAGATATGGCAGTCCACATTTTCTATAATCTCGTCAAAAAGGACTTATTTCCAAATCAATAAAATTATATATTGATCATGTATAAATTTTATTTGATAAAATATATAAATTTTATAGAATTTATATAAATTCAGATATCCACTCGATAAAATTATACATTCTATCTAAATTTCATGTCAAACCCATTCTTTGTTTGAATATGTTTTTAATTTAAAAATAAAAAAAATAATAACTTATGATAAGTGATGTTAAGAATATAGTCAAATTTTCACTAATACAAAACTCAAGAGTGATATCAAAATTGAAGTAACAATAACGTTAAATAATTATGAATGGGTAGCGAGAGGCTGAAAAGGACCACACTTTCCTATCTCTCGAGCACACACCGCGTGATATGATAAACTGTGTTTGGTTGGGTCGTGTTTGTTTGGACAGCTACTTGTATAATATATGTTCTCTGCTCTAACGACTGTGTAGGACCATGCTGAATGGAGCTCCGTGGCCTTTTCCTCTACCTTTTTCGTTACTATAAATTCCGAGCTCCATCGTTTTTCTCAAACACAACAAAATATCAAGCTATTAACGTCTCATATTCCAACATATTCTGTCTCCCCAGGCAAACCAGAAACAAAAAAGAAAAATGGGTTCAACTTCAAGTCTCAATTTGCCATTGCTTATGTCTCTCGTAATTGGCTGTCTGATGGCAGCATCCGCTAGCAACTTCTACCAAGATTTTGACATCACATGGGGAGATGGTCGTGGGAAGATAGTCAACAACGGAGAGGTTCTTACTCTCTTCCTTGATAAAGCTTCTGGCTCCGGTTTCCAGTTCAAGAATGAATAACTTTTTGGCAAGGTTGATATGCAGCTCAAGCTTTCCCTGGAAACTCCGCTGGCACAGTCACTGCCTACTATGTAAGTTATTCTCCAATTTTTATAAGGACATGTAGATATGTTGATAGCACAAATGCTGATGTACATTTCTGTCTGCAGTTATCTTCGAAAGGATCAACATGGGATGAGATTCATTTTGAGTTTCTGGGAACCTTAGTGGGGATCCTTACATTCTTCATGCCAATGTGTTCAGTCAAGGAAAGGGTAACAGAGAGGAACAATTCTATCTCTGGTTTGACCCAACTGCAGATTTCCACACCTATTCCATCCTCTGGAATCCCCAGCGTGTCATGTGAGTATTCCTAAACTGAAAATTTTCATTTCGCCCCAGTTGGTAGGAATTGCTTGATTGACAAAAATCTTGTTATTCTACGTTCCAGCTTCTCGGTGGACGGCACACCCATTAGAGAGCTCAAAAACATGGAGTCACTTGGTGTCCCATTCCCAAACAACCAACCCATGAGAATTTACTCCAGTTTGTGGAGTGCTGATGATTGGGCTACAAGGGGTGGTCTGGTAAAGACAGATTGGACTCATGCTCCTTTCACTTCTTCTTACAGAAACTTCAATGCCGATGCCTGTGTTTGGTCTAATGGAGCATCTTCCTGCAAATCAAATCCTCCATCTTCTGCCTGAACCAAAAATGCCTGGTTGTCTCAGGAGCTGGATTCCACTAGTCAGCAAAGGCTGCAATGGGTCCAGAAGAACTACATGATCTACAACTACTGCACCGACGCCAAGAGATTTCCCCAAGGTCTACCTCCAGAATGCAACATGTCTTAGAGGCAACAACAGCACTTAATTCCATCAATATTCTTTCAATTCTTTTTCTTCTTCAGGCCAACTCTTGATTCTTTTGTTCTTTGAGAATTCTCCCTATCTAGTATGTAATACGTTAGCAAATGATATGCAACAAGAGTTTACTTCCTCTCTTAAAATTCATGGCCATTGATCAGTTTCTTTTCAGGGTATATTCCATACAAAATAATAAGTAGTAATGAATATTAAAGCCCCCGTTCATACCATAGCATCATAAAGCCATCAATAATTTATTGAATTAAGCAAAAAAATTGTAATAAAATCCACTTTCAAAATAAAGTACATGCTTGATTTAACAAAAGCTGGTAAGGCCAAATCCTTTTGTACTTGTGGTGAAAGATGATAGTTCATAAAGAAAAAAAACATTCCTAGGCAAAGAACATTGTTTATAACTTAAGTACCAACATGCTACAAATTGGTCGAGGCAGAAAAGGCAAACTTAAAATTCCAAGGCAGCATTAGAATATTCCGGTGAGGTAAAGCTAGAATATTCCAGTGAGAAGATTTGCAGCAGTCGAAATAGCAGCTCCCGTGATGGCACATTGCACAACCTGCTCGTGGGAAGCTTCCTCGGATGTGAGTGCCAGCGCCATTCCTGTAATTGCTCCCGCCACTGCACTGTTTTTCTGCAGCATGTTGGCCAACAATGGAGTCAAAAGAAACATAATGGTAGTATTAAAAGAATTTGTTAAGCTCTTGGATCAGGAAACCTCGCATCTTTACAACAAGTGGAGATTGAAGAAACTGTCTTTTTCCCCCATGAAAAGAAGAGAGAAGATGTCGATCTTTACCCAATCATGAGCTCCACGAGCCTCTTTTAGTCCATATGTGAGACCTGAATACAATCCTGCAGCTAGCCCTGTAATGTGCAATTCAATTCATGGACCATGATCAATAATGAACCAGTTCAAATCAACCATTTGTACTTGACAGCCATGTTTCTCTCTTTTCTGAACATTTTCTGACATCTCATCCAAGAGAAACTAACAAGAAATTGGGTCCACGCTCTAAACTTACCCCACTGTAGAGATTCTTTTCCAGTGCTCTTCACCTGTAAAATGTTGTTAAATATTAGTTGGATAAAACAAAAAAAAAAATTAAGCAGAATATCCTCAGGTATTGCAGGCACCTGCATTAGCAATAACCAGCTTTTACAAGATCAACTTTGGTGACACAAGTGCAAGAGCCATTAAGACTAGCTCATTAATCAGTATACAACGCCATAAGTTTTAATTCCATTTTGAAAGTTCATGCTTGGGAAAGAGACTCACCATTGCTTCAAGAGATTTTCGATTGGTTTCTCCTGCAATCCACATAAAGCAATTTCAATTAACTTTCACTGGCAATGTCCAAACAAATGAATAACACACGAAACTCCCATCTCCCAACAAGTAAGAGAAGTAAACTTTCCATTTCCAAATTGAGTCACATCTCCTTAATCTGAATAGTGGATTAAACTTTTCGTAACTAAATAATTCCAAAGTTTTAGTAGTTTAAGGGTCAACCATCCCAAATTTGTATGAAGATCTAGAAAACCAAAAAGAAAGTTGCATAAGACACCAAAGACTGTTCATGTTTTTCCCCCTCTTTCTAATCCCAAGTTCCTTTCAGACCATATGATCAGAACCAGCAGGCATTGATACCTCTGAGGTCAGGGAAGCGGTTCTTCTTGTTCTTGGAACCGGTGATATCAGGTGAGTTACTTGATTCAGTTCCTGCACCAAAACAACAAGACAACATCGACCACACCCAATAATTTAGGATCTCAATTAACAAATGATATGAAGTTGAAAAGAAAGTGCATGCCTTCAACAGCCATGAAACAAGACTCCCTCGCCGCAGCCTGAATCGCTCCAATCTGTACACCAGTACCAAACAAGGACCCTTTCATTTCTTGCTTTCTCAAACAACAAACAAAATAAACTGACAAAAATGAGGTTGAAAACCCAGAAGATTTACGTACGCCAGCAGCTTTGACAAAGCTCTCAGCAATGCGGTTGAGGAGAGGGTGTCCAAGGTCGAAGAAGCATCCCTTGTCGAAGTTACGCCAGTCATCCAGCAAAGACCTTGTCTCCAAGTTACTGCTCATGTTGTTTTCTTTTTTGTGTTCTGAAGCTAACCCTTTTTTTTTTTTTGCTTGAAAAGTTGGTATGTTTTTAAGTTCAACTTCTTCACAGAATTAATGGTAGGACGGAATCCAAGTAGTTATGGCAGATTCAGATAGAAAGATAAAATTTTGCAAACGTGTTCAAGTAGAGAAAAGCGGAGATTGTAGGGAGCTGCGAAGAAGAGAAAGTCAAGACAGGGACACGTGTTTTAGAGACCTTACGTGTCTCCTGCATGTAACCAGGTTTGGCGGACTTCGTGGCGATTCTATGGGTCTAAACTTTCGCCACGTATCTTTCCGAAGTCGGTAACAGTAACCCGCCCGGTCTGTCTTACAAGCCGCGGGCCGGTTCGTATTGAATTCTAATGAAACATTGTTTTCCCTAAACGTTATTCTTTGCAAACCGTCTTACGTGCGAAGGACCAATCGGTTAATCTTCCCAAAAAGAAAAATGGAAGCAAGCAAGAGAGAGTGTACAGGATAGAAGTTAAACTTGCAAAGCCGAAGAGAGGGATGATTTTTGGGAACAAATTTTTGGGCATTTGCTGATATAATGAAGAAAACCCTTCAAAAGTGAAGTTGCGTAATAGCAAGTTCTAATTTACAAGTGGTCTATAAATGAGGTCTGAGCTACAATTAAGAAAATTTTGGCCTTGTAAACCAACATCCTAAACCCTCTCTCTCTCTCTCTCTATAACAGCCACACCCACCACAAAACTGAACAACAACGGGACACTATAGAGGGCAAATATTACTGCCCATTCTATTAGTTGGTTCACAGAAGCTAAATAAGGGCAAGAATTAAAGAAAGGGGATTTAAGAGGAAAAGAACAGAAACAGGGGGGGAAAAATCAGACAAAGAACGGTAAAATGTTTTACAGAAGCAACAGTTGGGCGGCTCTCAAAGCAGAAAAGTCCTAGCTTCAGTTTCAAAGCATCAGAAAAAGGCCTGGTAGACTTGGCTGCATAACGAGTAGTACGTGTTTCTTCCATGCCCTCAGGTGCACTATACAGGATCATCCCCTCCGACAAACAAATTCAGCATTGCCCTGCTCATTCCACTTTCTTCGCATCCAATTCTTTTTGGTAGTCCACTTTTTCTTTGGTAGCCGAAGACTGTTCAGTCACCAAGCACATCCTTGAGTTGAATAAAACAAAGACGAAAACAAGTTACCCTGCGCATAATGATTCTGAGAAATAACTTAAGATCCATTTACAGCCATCTCAGGTGAGGACTTTGGTGGTATCAACGGACAGTCCTCTCCACTTAATTGTCTATTGTCTGAGGGGCTATGCAAGCAGTCTGAACAGCTTCTAGGAGGTTCCTTCTCTACAAGGTTGTCCTCTTCTGAAGAACTACTATTGTTATCAGAACTTCTGGGACTGCCAGATTCCTTCTCTACATGATTTTCCTCACCCAAGCCTTTGTTCCCTTCAGGTGACCGAGTAGACATATGCATGGCATTTGCAGTTTTCTTACTAGGCAACACTGCCTGGCTTAGTGTTGAACACCAAGCCGCAAATAGACTATCTCTTGATTTAGAGCTTTTGCCCAATCTCTGCTTCTTAGCTAGGTCAGGCTCCTTTTCCTTAGTCAACTTACGCTTCAACCTAAGGGACTCCATGGTTCCTTCATCCTCCTCCGAGGTTTCTGCATGCTTCCTTGGAGGTGGTCTGTAGTCTTCATCATCCTCATCATCATCATAGTCAACGAGTCCACCAGATCTTGGGCTATAAAATTAAAATGAATGCATAAATTATGAACCCAAACAGACTATAAATCACTGTTGGTAATCATCTAGCATGAGGTCATTAAAATACCTTAATGATGGGTAGCTTGCAGCAACTCCATTGGACAAAGCAGGTTGCGATTGTACTTTCTGAGTATTAGATGCAGATGCTGTATCTTCTTCATCACTGCTTAAGCATCCACATTCAATCACTACAGAGGAAATCGATCAAAGGAAAAATGTCAACTCATCTGTTGATGGAAGCATACCTGTCCTCATTGAAATAGTCTTCTTCTTCTTTCTCCAGAGCACGCTCATCAATTCGTTTTCTTGGGTCCAGTGCATTAACATTCGTTTTTGTTCCACAATTTTCCAAGCACTGCAAACAGACAAATCACGTCAAAGAAGTTCCACATCTAAAAATCTCAGTTAAAAGTTAGTCGGGAGCTCGAATACCTGCTCGTATTTAACTTTCAAAGAGTGAACAGAAGCCAAATAGTCGAACTTAACCAACTGATTCCAAAATGAATCAACTATATATTTAACCAATAATTTCAAGTTTTCCTGCATGAAACAAAGTTATTAGCAGACAGAATTTGCCAGATATGTCTACAATCCAAATATAAGAGCAGAAACGATATGCACCTTGCGGATATATTCAAAAAGTTCTAAGACTGCAGAGTTCAGCACATTGTAACGATTTCCATTAGCAACAAAAGCATCTACAACTGGTTTGAGAAGGTTGTTCTTAACAAAATGATTTATTAGATGGTCATCCTGCAAGATGACAGCTTAATATAAGCAATTACAAAATGTAACAGCATTAATCAACTTGTACATTCACCAGCCACAAAAAGTGCTAATTTTGCAAGAAGGTTAGAGAATAAAAAGAAGCATAACATTATAATAAGGAAAAACCAGACTCCTAGAAATTGCAAGTGCACAACAATGGAAAAAACAAAACAACAGATCACAGGTTTGGCAGGCCCAGTGAATGGGGAAGAAAGTTTAAAAAATAAAATTTCTCCACCCTATATCCCAGTTGGGTAGCAATGGTTCAAACAAACAAAATAGCCCAATCCTTAACAACTGAGAGATCTTAAATGACTACAGTAGAAACAGTAGTGGCAGGAGATCCACCAACAATCAGTGAATTGTAATATTATGTTATTCCTGGTATGTATTGTTACTCAGGCTCAAGTGTCAAACATGGTATCGGTCCCTTGTATTTCATGTCATGGACCCTTACCCAAGTTGCTTTGAGATGTCAAATGTGCGTCTCACATTAATACACGAGGAAAAATGAAATGTCAGCACAACATATATGTACCTCTCATATCTCAAATGATAAACATATACATATCTGAATATTTAAACTGAGAAACTAATTCCCCGTCACCATATGCAAACAGTCAAAAGCCAAGTCAGACATGATTCACATAACAAACAGCTTCAGCTCCAATTTCATTTATATATTCAATGCTATTTCTGATTCTATAGATGTCATAGGTGTTCACAAAATATTGAACTCTGATGGCATATAAATTTACTCTAAAGAATGAACTGAATTTACTTACATAACGAGAGAGAATAGTGCGAACAAAGCGAACAGCAGCAACTACTAGGTATTTTTCCCTTCTCCGGGTCAGTAACAAAACTTTGTCTATAACGTTGTTAAGGAGAAAATTACACCTGCAAACAACGAAGAAAAGCCAATTGACATCTACAATTCATGAGCCAATTTCTAGATGAATATGGAACTAGTACGAAAAGATTACTTTATTCTATAAGGATGGTGCACAACACAAAAGCACAGCAATTCACATATGTTTGACAGAATTTCAGGCTTCGTGCTATTTAGACTTTCAACTCTTCCTGCATTGCTTGCCAATTTACTGGTTGACTGGCCAGCCACGTCAGAAGGACATGACAATATTATGACATCAATTAGCTGGCCCAAATGCTTCTCATAAAAAATATCAACAATTGAATCTCTCTGCAGAAAAAAATAACATAAGGTCAAGCACTTAATGTCATAATCCAACTTCAAAATTAGAACTAGTAATCAAACCAGCATAGAGAAAGAATTAAATCTTACATGAAAGTTTAAGTGACAAAATTTTCCAACAATCAGCAGATATATATAAAAAACACAATCAACATCCAAAATTTTTACACCTGCATAAATAAACCCAAAAATGTTGTGGACTCCAAATGTAAAGATAACACATATATGAAGTATGAAAATCACATGATAACGGCCATGATCTCTCAGTAAGTTATATAGTATCAATCTCTCAGAATCTACTGCACACAAAGGATCAAACACTAGAGCACACTAGGGATCAAACACAAGCCAACTGAAGTTTGGCTGAGCTAGTTAGACATAAAAGAAAGGACACAACCCAATTTTTATCAATATATTCAGCTTCTTCAATAACTCGATGACTCTACCTTACTGTGCATGAGGAGCCAAGTTCAGCTTGTTGCAAATTTCTCATCTTACAACCAGACCTAGAATCTAATTCAATACAAGTCCAAGCTTCTCAAAGAACAGCACCACATTCTAGAGCAGCAACATAACTTAAGACAAGTAAGGTTGGAAAAGAGCTTAAGCTAGACCAAAAAAAATGACCTTAAACTAAAAGGAATAGAAGAGAAGGATTCATGAAACCTGCCCCAATTATTTTGGAATTTAGGTTGAGTGTGAGTCTATGCAACTTCCCATCTACCAAAATATAACACTTGCACACAGAAATCAAGTATCAAGGTATGCACCTGAGCTCCTGACAATGTGAATGAATCCAGTAAACTACGAAGAATTTCAAGAAACTGGCAGTGCATATCCTCCCCGAAATCTGTTATCATCCCTTTAACCTGTAAGTCAACAACTACATATTAGTTCTTCATATTCTCTCTCCGTATATACAGACACATATATACCGATGATAGAGATCTGTTAAGTTCATCTAATTCTTGTGTTTCTACACGCTCATTATACCATATTACCAACAAACTTGAATAATACACGTACCAAAAGTCCTAAAAGTGGAATTCCTTCCTGGCGAACAACATAGGAGCGCAGAAGGTTTGGATCCTGATTCAAGAACAGTATGAGGATGTCTGTCCTGCATCCATTATAGAGACCTATGGTTAGAACTCAATAATTAGGAAATTAAAAGTTTACACACAATGTAAGAAGGAAAGAAATATATTAAAGAGAGATACTACAAATGCCACCATTACCCAGTTAGTACAAGCTTTTTATCTTGACTCTGCAGAGCATCAGTGATAATGTCAAAGATACCTTCATTCATAAGATCCCTAGAATGATTGAAAATGAACACTTCAGCCAAAGAAATAAAATTTAATTGTCCAAAAGATAATTCTGGAGAAATGGCAGCTTTAAGGACCAAGATAACTACAGTAATATCAGATCTCTAACTTGTAGAAAAG